CAGCGCTGAGGGAGCGCCGCACTGTCGGAGGGTCAGTGTTGAGGGAGTGGACACTGTCGGAGGGCCAGCGCTGAGGGAGCGCCGCACTGTCGGAGGGTCAGTGTTGAGGGAGTGGACACTGTCGGAGGGCCAGCGCTGAGGGAGCGCCGCACTGTCGGAGGGTCAGTGTTGAGGGAGTGGACACTGTCGGAGGGCCAGCGCTGAGGGAGCGCCGCACTGTCGGAGGGTCAGTGTTGAGGGAGCGCCGCACTGTCACAGGGTCAGTGTTGAGGGAGCGCCGCACTGTCGGAGGGTCAGCGCTGAGGGAGTGCAAGAATTTGGGAGTTTGGGACACCATAAAATCCTTGACAGAAATGGGATTGGGAACGGGAGATGGATGGGAAACAGCCTCTGATGGGCATCGATAGATAATCCAGTGGCTGGCCATTGCCAGAAATGTTGGAAAACAGGCAGAGACCATTCGGCCCCTTGAATCTGACTCGCCTTCCCATACAATTCTGCGATCACCCCACATTCCTGCCTTTCCCCTCCTTTGTTTATCGATGATCCACCTTCTCAGAGACTCCGATTCCCCCTTGCACTTTCCAGGGAGGCTGGGGAGGGTGGGGGGGAGGAAAAAGTGTGTCCAAAGGGGTCAGCCGGCGATGGCCACACCCCGAGAGTGAGTGACCGAACAACGTTTTGCAGGGCCATTCGAAATTCCCTCACCCGTCGTCATGTTTTTCGCCTCCGGAGCTTCAAAGTTAATGATGAAGCTGACAAAGTCATGTGCGACGTTGATGGAGATCTCTTTGTTCTCCAGGCAGAGGGCCAGGACGGCCAGGCTGACTTGGTAGGAATTGGTGAAGTAAGACTTGGTTTTGTCTGCAAAATGCGAACAGCATTAAGGATCACGCACGCACGCACACCAGATGGAGGCTGTTCAACCCATCGCATCAGTGCTAGCTCCCTGGGTCTGGACAATTCTATTCAATTAGTCCGTCTGCATGTTTCTCCCTCCCGTCGCCCCTAAAGATGCATTTTTTCATTCATTTGAGGGATGAGGGCATCTCTGGCTAGGCCAGCAGTTATTGCCTATTCCTAATTGCCCAGAGGGCAGTTAAGAGTCAACCATATTGCTGTGGGTCTGGAGTCACATGTAGGCCAGACCAGGTAAGGATGGCAGTTTCCTTCCCTAAAGGGGATTAGTGAACCAGATGGGTTTTTCCAACAGTCGGCATTGGATTCATGGTCATCATTAGACTCTTAATTCCAGATATCTTAATTGAATTCAAATTCTAGCATCTGCCATGGCAGGATTCAAACCCATGGGACATTACCTGGGTCTACTGGATTAACAGTCCAGCGATAACACCACTAGGCCATCGCCTCTCCTCGTGCGTGCAGACGATGGGGCTATAATCCTGGGAGTCACTCTTGATAACACCCCTTGGGAGGTTACATTACGCCACAGGGAAGGTGGTAGATTGATGCTTTATAGACACCAGGCTTGTAGTTCAAAAAGGACAAAGTGAATACCAAAGGGAGCCCAGAACTGGGGAGGGAGTCACACACACTGCAAGGATATGGGGTAGGACTGAGATGGGGGAGAAACGTCTTCACCCAGAGAGGTGGGGAGCCTCTGGAATTCCCTGCGGTTGAGGACAAAATGTTGAATGTTCTCAAGGAGGAGTGTTAGGGCGGCACGGTGGCTCAGTGGTTAGCACTGCTGCCTCCCAGCGTCAGGGACCCAGGTTCGATGCCACCCTCGGGCGACTGTCTGTGTGGGGAGTTTGCACATTCTCCCCGTATCTGCGTGGGTTTCCTCCGGGTGCTCTGGTTTCCTCCCACAGTCCAGGGATGTGCAGGTTAGGGTGGATTGGCCGTGCTAAATTGTCCCGTAGTGCCCAGGGATGTGCAGGTTAGGGTGGATTGGCCGTGCTAAATTGTCCCGTAGTGTCCAGGGTCGGGGGTGGGTCTGGTTGGGATGCTGTTTGGAGGGTCAGTGTGGACTTGATGGGCCGAATGGCCTGCTTCCACCCTGTAGGGATTCTATGAAGGAGTTAGGTATAGTCTGTACAGTCAGAGGGGGTGGGTGAGACAAGGGGAACAGGAGACCGAGTTGGATGTTCAGCCATGATCCTACTGAATGGCAGAGCAGACTCCATGGGCCGAATGGCCTGCTGCTATGTCCCATGGTTCTACGAAATGCCTTTTGAGGAGTTGGGACATCGTTTATGCGGGTGGGTAGAGGGCCACTTTTGGAATACCGTGTGCAATTCTGGTCTCCCTGCTATAGGAAGGATGTTGTGGAATTTGAAAGGGTTCAGAAAAGGTTGAGAAGGATGTTGCCGGGGTTGGAGGGTTTGAGCTACAGGGAGAGGCTGGGGCTGCTTTCCCTGGAGCGTCGGAGGGTTTGAGCTACAGGGAGAGGCTGGGGCTATTTTCCCCGGAGCGTCGGAGGGTTTGAGCTACAGGGAGAGGCTGGGGCTATCTTCCCTGGAGCGTCGGAGGGTTTGAGCTACAGGGAGAGGCTGGGGCTATTTTCCCTGGAGCGTCGGAGGGTTTGAGCTACCGGGAGAGGCTGGGGCTGTTTTCCCCGGAGCGTCGGAGGGTTTGAGCTACAGGGAGAGGCTGGGGCTATTTTCCCTGGAGCGTCGGAGGCTGAGGGGGTGACCTTATAGGAGGTTTATAAAATTGTGAGGGGCATGGATAGGGTGAATAGACAAGGTCTTTTCCCCAGGGTAGTGAGGGGTGGGGGGGGGGGGGGGGTCTGAAACTAGAGGGGCATAGGTTTAAGGTGAGAGGGGGAAAGATTTAAAAGGGACCTGAGGGGTAACTTTTTCACACAGCGGGTGGTGCGTGTATGGAACGAGCTGCCAGAGGAAGTGGGTGGGGGCTGGTACAATGACAGCGTATGAATGGATACGTGGTTAGGAAGGGTTTAAGAGGGATATGGGTCAAATCCAGGCAAACCGAGTTTGGGAAAGCCGGTCAGCATGGAACGGAATGGAGCGAAGGGTGTGTTTTATGGGCAGTCCGACCCTAATTCCCCACCAGCCCAGCGAGAACAGGAAGCCCGTTGAGAATGGAGCAAGGCTGGTCTTTCCCCGTGACACGATGCCCTCCCTCCCACTTCTCCAGTGAAAGGGTGGTTCAACGCAGCACCAGACATACCCAGCGCGTGCATTTCGATGGCTAGCGTGGTGTCCAGGAGCCTGATCAGGTTAATTCCCAGGTTGTCGTTGGAAATATTGGCGGGATTGATGCAGGAAGCTCGGAACGCCAAGGTGTACAGGCCCATATCTCCGGTCGTGAAGTTTCCATCTGCAGAGACAGTGCAATAAAAGTAACCGTCCACAAAATAACATTCACATCTAAACCAACCCAGCTCTCCCCCTGGAAACAGCACC